CACAAATCAGGACTTGTAGTAAGATGTATAATACCAAAAAATGTGAACAGTTGAAAGATATTTTAAAGTTGCTGCTATTACCATTTAATGCCTTCATATAGTACAAGAGGAGATTTTTTATTAACAATTTTAATTAACTTTTAATTGATTTCTAAGAAGATAACTGGTTTCATTAAAGCATCACACACTGAGCTGCTTGGTTAGATATTAAACATCAATGTAACATTCTTCACAGTACTGCTGATAGAGAATAAGGTATGCTATGTTTGGTTATCTTTTTTTTCCTTAAATTCTTTTATCGGTATATTTTAGGTTTACAATACACTGACATTTATCATTGGTACTTGTACCTGTACAAGATGTATCTTGGTTCTTATTTTTTCCCCATTCCCTGTCTTCCCTTCACCCCCTCTGCCCTTCCCCATTAACAAAGACTTTGTTTCCATTTTTTTCATTTTCTCATAATTTTTCCTCACCCTTCTTTCCTTTCCCCTTCCCCTCCCACTTCCCCTACCCCTTTGGACATTTTCTTCCTATTTCAAATTATCAATTATTCATTTTAATAATTTTAATCCTTATTTACACTCTCAGTTTCTCTCACCAGAGAAACTATTTGTTATTTATATGTGTGTCGTATTTATTTCACTTAAGAGTATGGCTAGAATATGCATCCATTTAGCTATAAATGCCTCTAGTTTCTCATTCTTTATGGCTGAGTAGTACTCTATTTAACAAAAAAGCCACATCTTCTTTATCCAGTTTCCTGGTGATGGGCACTTGTGCTGTTTCCAAACTTTGGCTATTACAAATTGTGCTGGTATAAACATGGGTGCACATATATTGCTGTGGTATGATTCTTTTAACTCTTTAGGGAAGATACCCAGCAGGGGAATAGCTGGGTCAAATGGGACCTCTAGTCCTAGTTCTTCAAAGTATCTCCATACTGATTTCCCACAGTGGTTGCACCAGTCTGTATTCCCACCAACAATGAAGAAGGATTCCTTTCTCCCCACACCCCCACCAGAATTTGTTATTAGTTGATTTCTTGATAGCAGCCACTTTTTCTGGGGTGAGGTGGAATCTCATTGTTGTTTTCATCTGCATCTCTTGAATGACCAGTGATGTTGAACATTTTTTCATATGTTTATTTGCTGCTTTTACTTCTTTCTGTGAGAAATATCTGTTCATTTCAGATGCCCATTTTTGAATTGGGTTTTTATATTTGGGAGGTCTGATTTTTTTAAAGTTCTTTATATAGTCTAGATAGTAGACCATTGTGTGAGGAAAAGCTGGTAAAATTTTTTTCCCACGTTGTAGGTTGTCTCTTAGCTCTGGTGGTGGTTTCTCTTGCAGTGCAGAAGCTTTTTAATAAGATGAGATCCCAGTTATTGATTCTTTGTGCTCGTTCCCATGCTACTGAGATTTTGTTCATAAAGTCTTTTCCTATGCCTATGTCTTCAAGAGTTCTACAAAACTTATCTTCCAGCAAGTTTAGTGTTTCTGTGGTTGTCTTGTCTAATTTTATATACTCATCTCTAGTAGCTCCTATAGTACAAACTACCTTGCTTAGTGAGCCCATGTTGTTTTATAAGTCTCAAATAATCATACTAAATAAAAGGAAAGAAACAGCTTTGCATTTTACATTCTGGTCCCTTTTTCTCTATTAGACCTATGTCTGAGCAAACTCAGAAGGTTTAGAGAAAATTCCAGGAGAATATATTCTCTTATTCCATAAAAATCAAATACTCATCCTTTCATGGGCATTTATGGATTAAGTAGTGGTAGATCAGGTCAAAGTGTGTGCGTGTGTGTGTGTGTGTGTGTGTGTGTGTATTTGCCATATTTCTTACATTTTAACTGATTTAAATGAATTTTAAGTAAATTATGAAAGCTAATTCATGACAATGCCCAATCTAATATTTATTTTCAGTCTACCTGTTGAATATCTTTTTGAATATTCCTATTAACAAAGCATCTCATCACAAAATAGAGATTGTTGTATATTTGAAAAAGATGAGATTAAAGTTAGGGATCTTGAGGTGAGACTATTTCTCTGGAAGGACAAAATAAATTTACTGTATTCATACAAGCCTTGAAAGAGGAGCAAGGTGACCAAAGAGCGGGTCAAAGAGATGAAGTGGAAAAAGAAAGAGGAGCAATTTTAAAAATTCAAATGGAACTTGACCACCACTGCTACCCTTAGAGATGGGAGACGTGTGCCAGGAGCCATGGGATGTCCATGACATCTAGAAACTGGGATCGGGTCTCACATGACCACCATCAGAGAAATGTGGATCTTAGTCCTACAACCTCAAGTAACTGAGTGCTGGCAACAAGTTGAATGAGCAAGAAAATTGTTTTTACCCTAGAGCCTCCAGAAAGGAACACAGCCCTGTTTATACCTTTGCTTTAGCCTAGTGAGATCTCTGTTACTTATCTGCAGGGGTTTAAAAAAATAAAATTCATTTGAGGAAGCTGATAAATTTGTGACAACATGTTATAGGAGCCATAGAAAACTAATACAGTTCTTCACTCAGTATGGTTCAACTTAATTTTCAGTTTTATGATGGTGTAAAAGCAAAATACGTTCAGTAAAAACTCTACTTTAAATTTTGTTCTTTTCCAAGGGTAACAGTATGCTGTAGGACACTCTTGAGATGCTGGGCAGCAGCAGTGAGCTGCAGCTCCCAGTGCTAGTAAGCAATTAATACTCAACAAGTTTGTAATGTGTTGCTGGATTACAAAGTTTGGTAGATTATGTTTTTGTTTTCGTTTTTGGTACAGGGCATTGAACTCTGATCCTTGCGCTTGCGAGGCAGGTGGTGGAACCACTGAGCTAAATCCCTGGCCCCTAGATTATGTATTTTAAATGCATTTTACTATATTTTAAATGTATAGTGGGTTTATCAGGTTACAATCTCATGGTAAGTGAAGGAGCATTGGTCCAGATATATTTGAAGATCCTCCTGGAGGTATCAATTAAGAAGCTGAACATATAGAAGACATATACAATATTTTCTCCTCCACATACACATCACCACATACACAGTCACACCCACACATACAGCCATGTCAGTTGAATTAAATTATTCTATCATAATAAACCTTCAGTTACATGGAAGTATAAAAATAACAAGAAGAGGCCTTTAAATTTCTGATTCCATAATGGACTGATTTTGTGACCTTAAGTGTTTCAGTGATAGAAAATGTAACACAAAATTGCAAAATTCTAGTGAAATAAATAGAACTTTATATTATAAAGTTACAGTTTTTCTCATATTTGATCAGTTTTCTTTCAGGAAATGCTGCACAGTGTTGTTTGTTCTTTTCCAAAACAATAACTCACATAACTGATTTGTCAATAATTTCTTAGGAAAAGTGTAGGCAAAGGTTAAAAATAGAAGAAAACTTGTCTATAGATATTCTTCAGCTCTTTTGCAGTATATGTTTCTTTTCAGCATTCCTTAATTCTTTCATCATTTCTCAGGATTATGCCTCAAACTATGTTAACATCACAAGGACTTTTGTATTTTGATAAGTCTAAGGACAAATCACCCTAAAAGGTCTGGTGTTATGACACATTAGGAGAAACACATTTTTAATCATGATTTTCACATTTTGTACTTAACCATTTTAAACTACACACAGTCATTTTTCGACCACAGCTGGCATGCTTCACTGATGTTTATGAAGCTGAAACTGAGTGCAAAATGCTATTAAAATGCATTATATTATATTCCAGGCTTGGCAGAGATTAAGTGATTATTGTGTTCCTAGTTCAGAAGGCAGTCATGTCTTTTTTTCCTTCATTTTCTTGCTGATAATCTTGCTGATAGTTTGGTAGATTATATAATAATTTATAGCTTCTTAGATTTTTTTGAAGAATAATAACAGTATTATTTAATACAAAACATGCAATATTTGATAGTGTAAATTTGTAATTTATAATACACTTAACTGGCATACAGAAGATTTTTTTCATAGCAGTCTATTAGAAGAATATTCACTCAACATTTCCCCATCTTCGATGCAGTTATTAATACAACTTAAAATTTTCAACCAATGTAGATTTACTATACTGACAATTCTGCTGCTATTTGGATTTGTATTCTAATATTAAAAACTAACCTTAGAATTGCTATAGTTTTATTACCATTTAATTTTGGAATAGATTTAATTTCAAATTTCAGTTCCATACGTTCATTTAACCTGACTCATTAATCCTATTGGTATTTATTAAATAATTTTATATATGTGGCATTGTAGTAGGACACTGGGGTACTTGTTTCTTGTGTAAGCTAAGGCAAGAAAATTTAGTTCACATGTAGGCCACATTTTCTCATTTGCAAAATGGAACAAATGATATTTAATCATTGGGAACATCATGAAAATTAAATGAGGTAGTATATATAGTGCTTAAACAATCTCAATATGAAAATATATAAAGTCCTTGAACAAAAACAACATACAGAGGGCCGGGGATTTAGCTTAGTGGTTCTAGTGCCTGCCTCACAAGCGCAAAGACCAGAGTTTGATCCCTGGCACAAAAAAAGAAAAGAAAAGAAAAACATACAGTAAAGTATGTTAATTAAAAGCTATATGTTTTTCTACTTAACATTCAAAAATCTATTAAAGAAGCAGTACCTGAAAAATTCAGCTTTTTTATTATTATTAACTCTGACATAGTGCATTATTATATTGTTAATGAAAACAAGGTATGACTTACGCTCCTTTTGGATGAGCACGCATATATGTATATAATACATATATATTATACATATATATAATACATTTATATTAAATTATAAGTTTTTCTTATTTTGAATATATATATATATAATTATGGTATATTTCTAACTTTGAACCACACATTGATTCTTCATTATATTCTTAAATTTTTCTTAGAGCAAAAAACAATATCTGATTAGAGAAATGTCATAATTTATCAGCAGGACAGCAGAAGCTGTTCTGTGAATTCCTCTGTTTTTCATTGCATTTAGGCAACAGACCCTGATGCTGGAATAAATGGCCAAGTGCACTACAGTTTGGGTAACTTCAATAATCTCTTTCGCATAACCTCCAATGGGAGCATCTACACAGCTGTGAAACTTAACAGAGAGGTGAGGGACTACTATGAACTTACTGTTGTGGCAACTGATGGAGCAGTACACCCTCGACATTCAACTCTAACACTGGCCATTAAGGTTTTGGATATTGATGATAACAGCCCTGTGTTCACCAATTCAACCTATACTGTAGTTGTTGAGGAGAATCTGCCAACTGGAACTACCTTCCTTCAAATAGAGGTATGTAGTAAAAACAAGAATTTCATGAATTCTGCAATATAAGATTTGCCATTAGAAGAGGGTTGCCAGGTTGAGGAACAAAAGCACAATATATTGAGTTAAATTTTAATTTCAGTAAAAGAATAAATGTCAGTATCTCTCAAATATTTCATTTTGTATTTTATGTGACAGCACCCCTTCAGGGTAGTTCCACAAAATTAAAGAAAGAAAGGTGCATTTGTGAGAATGAAACAACAGTTTCCTCTAATTTACAGATGTAAAACTTTATGCTTTTTGTACTATTTGACAATAAAATATCCTTTAAGAAAAATTTAAATTGTCTCAAAAGTAATCAGTATTAAACTTTTATTTGTATTTTCACTCTGATCTCTTTGCTCATACAAATATCAAATATATATTTTCACATATAAATATGTATGTGCAGATTTATTCCATATACAGCACGTGTTTATCCATATATACACATGTACACATATGTATACATTTTCTCCTACATTTTATGGATACTGTTATACACATTATTCAATAATATTTTTTATTTACTATACCCAAATGATGTCTTTCAGGTTTTTAATTACCAAAGCCTACTTTTCACTTCTTAGCTGTAATATTACAAGAAATTGTGAATATTTTGAGTTAGTAGCTCAGGTTAATTTATAAATCTTCATTTTTGTCAACCAGTGCATTTAATTCTGACACAGGAAGTCTACAAAGTCTACAGTATTTTGCCTTTGTGGAATTTCAGTTGTGTTTAGTAAACAGACAAATATATTGGTAATTAAAATGAATGTCCACAATAAAAGGGACATAGGACTCCATTTTTATTCTTGCATTTTATTTTATTTCCTCAGCCTGAGGTGACTTTACCAGTCTGTTCTGTAAAGAGAACATTTGTTGGAGAAAGGTATTTCTAAAATCTCTGCTAAGAGGCTAGTCAGAGTTACTAAGCAAAAAGGACACAGATTATTCAAGGAAGTGGGAAACCCCTGCTGGAAATCTTGGAAGAGAGGGTGAGGTTTGGGAGACTAAAGGTCCAGAAGAATGTAATCTCCTTCTCATGACGTTAAAGAGGTTGAAGGAGCTATACTTTGAATCTTAGATGTCTCTCACAAGCTCATGTTTTGAAGGCTTGGTCTGTAGCCTGTAGCCCCTTCCCAGCCTTCCCTGTTTTGCAAATGCCACAATGTGATTGGTCCTCCACTACCAGGCACTCCACCATGATGTACTTTGCTACCACAAGCCCAAAGCAACGGGGCCAAGTGACTGTGGACTGCAAACGCGAGCCAAACCAATTTTTATTTCATGATTATTTCAAGTATTTTATCATGGCAAGAGAAAGCAGACTAACTGCTTGATGGAAATTTGAATGAAAAGTCAAGAGGATTTTAGGTAGGAAAATGACAGAACATAATCCATGCTTTAAAATATTTTTCTAGCTGTGATGCTAATAACAGATTAGAGGAGACTAGGACTCCAGTCTCAGAGGTGCTTGTATTAAAGAATGCACGTTCAACACACTCCAACCTTCTCCATTTTTGTTCTTGCATTTTATTTCCTTCATCTGAGGTACACTTGTCAATCTGGTTCTCTGAATGAAATAACATCCTACTTCCATGAAACCTGTTACTTTTTCTATGTTCTAACTCAGAATGTTTTTCAGATGTCATGAATTTTTCCTTCTGTTTTGGTATTTGTGTATTATTCCTCTTTAGGGCATAACCTAGAGTGCAGCAATTATATATTTATTCCTCTTGGTTCTCTCCACAGTGCCTTTTACATGATAATTGCTCAATATATATTAGTTACAGGAAGGAAGGTATAACAGACTGATATCTAGGAAAGTATCACAGAATTCTTATGAGAAGAAAATGGTACTTAACACTCCTTATTTTTCCTTTTTAGTCCTTTAGTACTTTGCTGATTGAAATCATTGAATAATTATTTCTATTTAAAGCATTGTCATTATTATTAAATGAGCAGAAATTAATTATTTCTGATATTGTGTATTTCTGTATTGTGGTATGATTCATTTATTTTAATTTTGATCTTTCAAGTAAAGTAAATAATAGTAATAAAACCAGTAATGAAAAAAATGTCATGACTGTTTTCATCCTTCTCTCCCCTACTCTCCCCTCTCCTCCCCTCCCTTCCTTACCCTTCCCCTCCCCTCCTCCCCTCTCCTCTCCTTCCCCCAACTTACTTTCCTCAATATGTGCAAATTTACTTAGCCAAAGGGCTTCTCTTGACAAATGTATATTTTGTCATCATTAAATTCATGCTCTCCTAGGCACTGCATATGACTTCCATCAGTCTTGAGTTCTATTTTGGCTATGCCCCTGATACTACCACTCTTCTGCTTAATATTTTTTAACACCTGGTATTTTTTAACTTTATTTTTTTATTTGTACATATTTGTCATACATATTAACCACATTCATCATAGGGAATTTGTACCTGTACATGATATATCTTAATTCTTTTTCTCCCATTCTCCTCCCCTTCTCTGCTTAATTTCTTACAGGCTAAAGATGTTGACCTTGGAGCAAATGTGTCTTATCGCATAAGAAGTCCAGAAGTGAAGCACATTTTTGCACTGCATCCATTTACAGGAGAACTCTCCCTTTTAAGGCGCTTAGATTATGAGGCATTTCCAGATCAGGAAGCAAGCATCACATTTTTGGTGGAAGCATTTGATATTTATGGAACAATGCCACCTGGCATTGCTACTGTCACAGTAATAGTAAAGGTAAGGAATATAAATGACTTCTAGTTGCCTACTTCCTCTCGTTATATGTTTTTTCTGTTTCTTATATTATTCATTTTGGCAACAATTCATACTAACACAGTGGTATAAAGCCAAGACATAGCCCTTGTATTGTGAAGTTTCTATAAAGGCATGAGAAATAATTATATTTTTAAGTATAAAGATAAATTTGAAAGAGCCATTAAATATCCATTTGAATACTGACTGAGTCTACCATTACCTCTGTGACTTCAGGAAAATAATAACCTTGCTAAACTATAGTTTAGTTTAAATTTCACAGTAATGGGGATGTCAATTTGTTTCATACTTTTACATTTGAAAAATTAAATAAAAAATAGAATCTGGATGGGTAACAGTCTTAGGCCTCAGAACTAATTAGTTTAATTTAGTTTAGAAACTCAAAATGTCTGGGTTGAACAATGCATCAGAGAGAGTCAGGTAGTTCAGTTCTAGCCCAACCATTGTCTAGCTCTGTGACCTTGGGAACACTGTTAATCTCTCTAGATTTATCTCCTTTATTAAAATACAGTGGCAGATGATTGCCTTAAAAAGCATAGCACATTTAACCTTTAGATTTCGTAAGATTTGGAAGCTACAACTTAAAAGTAGACATACGGAAAGATTGTAGTCAATTAGTTCTCAAATATTCTATAAATATCACTTGAGCTTCATCCTAAACTTTCAGATTTCTATGCTTCTTTCATAAAGAACCACTTTTCCCATGGGGAGCATCATAAGAATTAGCATTTTAGAAAAATACACAGATTATTCTTACAAAAAAAGTCTGTATATCACATATTGAGACATCTAATTCAATGGCAACTATACACATACAAGGAGAAATCTTGAATTAACTTACCAAGTGTGCATAATACAAAGGATTTTAGATGACATTTGTTTCTTAACTGATATAAGTAAAAGTTTTCATAATGACAGTGTGTTGAAAATAATTTGTTTTGGGCATAGAAAAACATGGAAACTTGAAACTTCTTTTTTTCTAATCCTTCAATAGAAATTTGATTTTTTTTTTAAAAAAGAAGGTTATCAGAGAGAAATAGATATCCACATAGAGCAAAAGTAAGAGATAAAGTGAGAATGGCAGATGAAAAAGGCTAAAACCAATGAGAGCAAAAAGGCTTCTGGACCAGGTGACAATTATAGATCATCTTAGCTTGGTCTGCCTTTCTGGTTGAAATGGTTTTGTAACATAGAAAATTTAAACACTAAAAATAAAAACATGATACATTTATTGAGTGTTTTGGCAAAGAAAAAAAGACTTGCTGTTTAATTAGCTTTCCCTTATTATCCCAAGATTGAAAGATGGATAATCACATGAAGGCATAGACTTCAATCTTGAGAAGATATAGTTAATAATTGACAGGTATAAAGACTCAGGAATTCTGACTTGTTTGCCCTGAATTCAGTTTGGATTATTCTTTTAGATTGTTTTGATAGAAGTAGAATTAAATTGGAGCCAAATATATCACAAACATTTAAGTTGTACACTAATAAGCCTTGGTGCTTACCTGGACTCAGTCTTTTAAAAACATTCTTCACTTTGTAGCCTACACTTTGATTTAGTACAGAACTATCATTTAAGGCTGGCATCAGAATCTCTGAAGGCGTTGCTCTTAGTGGACTCAGTTCTTCCTGAGATACAGGCAAGAGTTGGTCAAACTTTTATTGCCTCAGTTCCTTTACCATATTTAAAGGAGCCAAACTGTCTCAATGGTTCATTTATTAATGGTTTTCCCTGAGTTGTATAAAGTTATTTCTTATTTTTATATATTTGAGACAAAAAATAATCAATATTTTAATCCTATATATATTCAAAGCCATTTGTTCCTTTTCAATTGATATGAGTACGATAAATCTTCAGGAGAATATCCCAAATGAAGATCAATGGTTGCTTTCTTTTTTATCCTGATAACTCAGGATAACATGTAAAAACCGGAAGTTTAAATTTGTTCTATATACCATAGAGCTCACAAAAATATTGTCATTGTTTTGGTGGGAATAATGGAATACAGTTCTCATTTCTCCACAAATTTAGATTTTCCCTATACTTGCAAATTTTCTGCTATTGGTCTGTTTACTTGCAGCGCTGACATGCTGTTTTTCTGATAATATAATTGCATGGTATTTGCTAAGGATATATTTGTACCCAAAGCAATCACCACAGGGAAAACATCTTGAAGATCTGTCTTTGAAAATGAACAGAAACATAATTTATTTTGTAAAGAACAGGAAAAAAGAAAAGATATAGTTGCTAATATCTACTCCATCAACCATTTAAAATTGGAGTGCAAATGAGAATTTTGAAGGGATACTTGAGAGAAAAATTGTTTTCACACCATTTATAATATAAAATTTCTCATAAATACCTGCAAAAAGCTTTCTTAGTATCACATTTCCAGGATCTAAACTACCACCTGTGACAATTATGCAAATAATACATATTTTATTGCAAAGATTTTGTAAAACATTGAAAAAGCAAAGCCATTTGCATTGTTTATCTTTTCTGAATGTCATTAACAAGTGAAGACAGGATGATAGTAAATTACATAATATGGAAATTCTTCGGAAAATAAAAACAAATTTTTGAACAATTTAAACGGTAATATTCAGTGTTGAATGGCCTGGCAAACTTAAGATGTAATATAAATCAGTTATTAAATCAGTTGTTAGATAATTTTTTTAAAAAGTACAAAGAAAGATTTATACCATAGCAAACTGCATACAAATAGATCAGAGACTATATAAATTGATATGATATTAGGCAGCATTAAAACAAGTGTAATGCACTGGTGAAAGATTAGAATGCTTGCATAGAATTGGAGAGATACAGAATGAGGCCCTTCTATGAAGAAAGGAGATTGGATGCGCCATGAATGTGTTTGCCTGTCTTCGAGCATGCAGGTGTGGGAGTGAGTAAAGAAGATACGCGCAGAGTTCCGAGTTGATTTGGTCACAGAAGTCGTGAGTTCAGAGAGCACATGATAATCCAGGGCTCAAAACAGCAACTTTGAATATCTCCTGATTTACAACATCCATCCTTTCTTTGTCTGGAAGGAAGAACTTGATTAAAAGTTGATTACAGTCAACTAGCTAACAGAAGTGTGCTCTAACAGATTAATGACTATTTGTAAAAACTTACTTGTTATTATCTTACATTCTTTGGCCCAAATAAAACACTTATTTGGGATTATGTCCTTCAAATATTTCTCCTCTTCTGCTCTGCACTGTGAAATTCTTATCAATGTACTCTTTCCAGTATAGTCACCATCAAGTTTAAAGAATGTGAACACATTTAGGAAAGCATGTCTTGAGGCTAAATCAATTTCTTAAGATATCTTCAGGCCCTACTATTCTAAAATTTTAGGACTAAGATGTAACATATATTCTCTAAGTAGCTAAACTAGAGGAAACAAATAAACATATACGTGTCCAGGGTTAAAAACAAAATCCCCCAAGCTGTAACATTTCATATTTCTATGGCTTTCTTTTATGGGTCCCTAAATGTCACCTGCTGGTTGTTGGAAGTTCTGAGAAAGTTCCTTATAATGTACCCAGTAAAAAAACTTTCAATTTTCACTGAAAGTCAAATTCACACCTAATTGCTAAGGCAAATGAAACCAAACTTGCTATTGCCATAAGTCTCCAAAGCTTAAATGTTATCCAGTGGAGCAATGGATGTTGATAAACCCCCATGATACCAGTTAACTCTTAAGTACTATCACCATTTCCCTACAGGCTCTATTGTCACCACTAAGACTCACATTGCTGCAGCTCTTATATCTACCCTATTAAACCAGCTGTCACACACTAAGCTGCATATTTGATGTTCTAGAATATTCAATGTATCCTCTGAAAACTTTGATCCACTAAAGGCATATAATATTCCAAACAATAATAATTAATGCTATCTACATCTTAGAAACATCTCTCTGGATACAGTTTATAAAACACTAGTTCCTCAAGAAGGTATGTAATGGATGTCTCATGCAAATATATCATAGGCAAAAAAACTCTTTGGATTTTCTTAAGAAAAAAAAGTCTTAAATATGCTAGCATACTTTGTGAATCTCATGAAAATAAAATAAAATGTTTTTCTACTCTGCTAAAGAATATTGGTTCATAGAAGTCTTCCTATTTGTGAAGCTCTGAGAGAGCTAACTTTCCAAAGAATGCTATTCAGAAAACTTTCTTAGACTTTTTATGAAGACAACGTTTTTAAGTTTAAATACTATTGTTGTTTTAAGTGTATGTATGCAACCTCTACCTGTCTCTCTATGTTACAAAAAAAAAAGCTTTAAAAATGACTATAAAATTACTTTCCAAGAAATAGATTACATTATGCAACATTTGAAAATCAGTAGGTATGAAGATAAAAGTATAGCAGCTGGTTGGATAAATGTTTTAATAATTTAAAAACACTTTAAAAATACATATTTTAAAAGTTATCTGTAGATTACTTAAATGAAAATCTTATTCCAGGTATCTTACATAGATTCTTCTGATGATTTTTTTCAGTTCCCTTTTTCTTCACCTCCACATATCAGAATCATCCCATTAGGATCTTATTCACCATATTGGATATGTGTCTGTTTCTTACTAGCTGTTTTTATTAGCTCAGTTTCTTTATATTAAAAATAAGAACAATAACAGAAATAATAGCCAACATGTATTTTAGGTACATTTATTTTAATGGTACAATTAGCATGTCTCTAAAATATCTGCCATACAATAAAAATAAACTGTACAACATACAAACTTTTATGTCCATTTAAGATTATCTGAAAGTGTTATACTGTTTCATAGAATATGCTTTAAATTATGCTCAGAATAAGCACATATTCTTCCAATTAACAATAGTATCACAGTTTGGAAGAAAATGAAAAAATGTATCAAATTGTGCTCTCTACATGATCAAACACAGGGAAATCATATTTGGAATGAATTCTGCATTGAATTCGTGGATTTTTCCCCATTTCTTAGTGTTTTTCTCTTCTAATTTAGCCATCCATATTGAAGAATTGTCCTAACAGAGTGCATGAAGAAATCAAGACAGTTCACTAAATAACTTAAGAAAATCTTAAATTTAGTTACTTTTCTATACACTCTCATAATATGCTTACATTTATTATTTTATAATAGTCATCATATATGAAATTATCTATTTATGTTTTTGTTTCCACACTAAACTGCAACTTCAGTACCACCGTGCACCATATCTTTCTTGGTTGTAATCGTATCTGAAGCCTCTAAGATAATACCTGTGGTGCACAGTGAGGGTTCTATCAGTATTTATGATATCAAGAGATTCTATATTCTTTGCTCTTTGTGGCAAAGTATACATTCCTTTATGTCTACATTATGGATATAGTGCCTCCCAGTACACATAGTAGCTCCTAACTCAGAAATAAAAAGTAAAAACAAATCCTGAAAATAAATTTAGGCATCTAAGAAAGAAGTGTCCAGTGAAATTTTGATTTTTTTAAAAAAAATAAATACAAGGTAAGAGAAACCGATCATTTGTATTTAAGATAGCCCATACAAAACAGGAAAATATTTATTTGTCTACAGATGTGGCCCATTTCGACCCTATGTGCAGAGGCACAAAGGCATGGATAGGAGCCAGAACATATCAGGAAACAGTGAAGAAGGCTGATAATATGAAAAATAGCTTTGAGACAACAAATAAGATTGATTGTAGAAAACAGAAGTAACTGGTCACAGACAAGTTATTATCAACTGTATGGTCTGCCTAAAATGAACAGGTATCAGTTCCATAAGCCTTAAGGGATTCTGGAGTGCAGGGCAGCCAGATGGTCCAACATGGATGTGGCTAACACCAGGAAGTACTGCAGAAACAACTGAAGCCTCTCCACCTGTTGACTTATGCCATTTGTGTCTCAGAGTGTGCATTAGCATTAAGAAGATGAGGGTGACATTTGCTTTAGTGTCATCATTTTTTTTAAAGAGGATCAATCTATAACCAATTAGTACTTCCTATCAAGAAATAGTCCCTTTGAGGGGCCAGGGATTTAGCCCGGGGATTTAGCTCAGGGGTTTCGCGGCCTGCTGCGCAAGCGCAAGGACCCGAATTTGATCCCGGATAACAAAAAAGGGGGGGGGGAGGAGGAGGAGGAGATGGAGATGATAGTTCCTTTGGGCTGGGGATTTAGCTCAGTGGCACTGCACCTGCCTCGGAAGTGCAAGGTCCTGAGTTCATTCCCCTGTACAGAAAAAAGAAATTGTCCCGTTGCAGAAGCATTTTTACCCATGATTTAAAGTCAAATTTTTGTCATCTTTGTCTTTATTCAAGTTACTAATTTGCAAACTTACTAGCTAGCTCCTATCTTCCTCTTCTGTTTTTAAGATGATTCTTTAAATCTACTTTGTGATGTGCCAAAGTAGAAAGGCTTTCTGTGATTATTTTCGATTTCAATTTAGTGTTAAAAAAAAAAAAAGGGAAACTCATATTTTTCTTCCTGCTAGCTAACTACACCTTCAGGTACAGTTATTTGTTGTATATGGAAAGAAATTGCAAGCTTTACTGATTAAAAAATAAACAGAAATAAAATTATTTTGAAGAGAAACCTGGTGCCGTGCTAGTTGAGAATTGTGGTTAATAGAGTACTCTTTTGAAACATAAAAACTAACTTGTTCAAATCAACAGATATCACCATAGGAAGCAAACTATTATGGGTTTCAATGATAAAATTGACTAGAGGACAGAAAAGGGTGTTTCTTTTTGTTAATACTACCCTCTAGTGGAATAAGGGCCAATAAAAAAGAGCAGGGTTTTGTAGAGTTGAGTTTATCTTTAATTTACTGCATAACAGAATATTTGTACAGAAACAGATTTATGTACATTTTTCTTTGGATGCCCCTGAAGCATAAATGTAATGAACTATTGATTATGCTTGTTGGCATTGCATTTCAATAAATTTTCTCATCTGAAGGAATGCATTGTGGAAGAACTATGGGCAAATGACTGTGCATCATAGCCACAATAAAAGATTACAACCTCGAAATATGTACAATATGCCATAAAAAGAAATACTACTACAATAGAACTGTATTGAATTATTTTTCATCCTGTCAATGGCCAGAGAAATAAAGGGGGGAAACAATATTTTAAAGATTTCAGTTATTTACAGCCTTACGTTTGTGTGTAATAAGTTTTTGAGAACAGATTATAAAAGTATCCACTGTGCATTCATTTAGAAGGTGAATCTAATGAACACTTCCTCACGGGCTAAAAGCTGCAATAGCCAACCCTATAAACAACTATACAGATACAATAGTAAAGGCATATTGTTTTCCTGTAGAATCAAATTTTCCCAAAAATACCTTGTCACATTAAGGTTTAAAAATTCCTCTAGGAGGGTGGGATATAAAAATATTCATAGGAACATAATGAGTTTATTCAGCTTTAGAAACCCATGTAGGAAATATTGAAAGGTTGGCCTCTTTTTAAATTTTCAGATGTTACAGTTTAGATATGAAAAAAGATTCCCACCCTTTTAGTTACAAGGTACTTTTATTAAATTAATCAACACCTTGAAAGGGGCAGGAGAAACTGTGTGCAAATACTTTTCACACTTACCTCCTGCCTGAATCCCCCAGACCAATACCCTAACACCTCTGATTAAAGAAAACCAGAGCTTCCTAACTTCTACTTGTTCAGATCCTTCACTTCCTCATTTATAAAGAAAATCTTTCTCATGCAAGAGGATATGAATACTCATGTCAAAAGGAAATATCTTCTATTTTTCAGTTTGCCTATCAAGATCAATTTCTTATTAGTGTCTGCAGGTTTATTCACATTCACAACTCAGAAGTCTATTCTGAACATAAAGTGAATCTCTTTGATTATAAGAGATAATTATCTTGATTCTTTTCCGAAAAGAGAAGTCCACAATTGGTTAATTACACTGTGTGGGAAAGTTGCTGTGTCTGGATAAACATCAAAGACTATGTAGAACTTTTTTTTTCTTTTGTGTTGTTTAGTACCAAAGGAGAAAAAGGTGACTTGGAGGGGAAGAATAGATAATTAGCAAATTTAAATTTGTACCTAAAGGTGTTTGACCCAAAGTGCGTACCTAAGTATATAACATGCTGGAAGGTATGATTATTACAAAATAATAGTTCAGCTATTTTAGCAAACATTACTTTTGAGAAAAATGATATGTGATTCTCCATAAATTATAAAATGTTGCAAGATTTATCTTACCCTCAAAGGACAGGGTTTCCTTATTTCAGCTTTGCCATATAAGTCAACGAATTCAAGCAACATCACCAACCCATCTGTGGATTCTCATCTTTACTGGTGAAATGGCAGTTTAGTGACATGAATACAGGGAGTCACTATCCCTATAGTCAATACCTCCAGTACCTAGCACTTGTCTATAAAAGTATGAGACACTTAATAAATATTGAATTAGTGATACAAAGTGAGTGACAATGCACATGTATCTCCAGACTGTGAAAATTAGATATAATGCCTATAATTTCCTTTGAATTAAATCTTTAAGTAAATGAATACTTTTCCGTCTGTAAGTATCTATACATTTTAATGTCATTTTGCACTATGCTGCTGGGAAAAGCCTCCATTTATCATTTCATATTTATAAGAATGAAAACAAGAATCTAAAGATATTTCACAGTTTACAGGTGAAATGTTCTAATTAGCATCACCCTATATAAAATAATTTGTAGTTGTGACAGAAACATAAAAGACATTTTTTGAAAAGCAACAGCAAAACATAAAAGACCATCTTTTACTCATAGAATTTTACCTTTAAGAAATTGTTTTCATCTTTTTATCAGTTAACCATTTTACATCGTACTGTTAGAAGAATATTAAAGAAAACTTTAAGCATCACTTCAGCCTCTGAAATGTTTATTTTTGGGGTAAGAGACAGTTCACTCCAGTGGAGTGGCCTTCAATGGATATCATATACATTAATTTTATACAGGAACTCTGGAAATTTGCTCTGGAATGCCAGTCTGGAGTAAGAGTAATATAATTGAGTGGAGGAAAGGCTGACAATGGCAAATGAGTTGTGTGATAAGAGCCAGAGTCAATGTAGTGACTGTGTCTCTAACCAGGTTTTAACTGAAGCACTAACCTCTTGATTGTGTTTTACAGGATATGAATGATTATCCTCCGGTATTCAGTAAACGAATCTACAAAGGGCTGGTGGCACCAGACGCAGTCAAGGGCACACCGATCACAACAGTTTATGCTGAAGATGCAGACCCTCCTGTAAGTAAGACATTGATTAGTACTTTGAGCTTTAGGGAGGAAAAATTTTAACTCTCCTAAGTGATGCAGTTCCTAAAAGAGCAAAGCTGATCCATGACAGTTTCACTCCCAGCCATTTATAAACCTTTGCTTATTGCATCTACAGGTACAGACTATATTTCAAATAATTGTAATTAAACTTAGGCAATTAGACCTAGGACTTTCTGTTAAAATTTAAAATGTGCTATTTTATCAACTTACCTATTGCCAATGATAAATATATGTGAAAAGAATCGTCTACATTTGGAATCACAATTATCATAGTCTCTTATTAGAACAGTATAGGCTTAGTTTAATATCAACAGGTTTTAAACTTACATATTTTCTGCTTTTTTTCATACATGAGCAGTATTTTATTAAGAAAGTTTAAATCAGCACAGGACATAAAGCTTGTTTGAATTGTTTACTTTGAGAAACTAAAATCTCAATAATACTTTTTGAACATTGTTAACAGATTTTTAATCATACAGAATTTTATCTCTTTTGAGATCACGCAAATTACCATTTGAGACAAGATTTTTAACTAAAATAGTATGGCAGAAGTGATGTAAAAATACTATGGCAGAAGTGATGTAAAGTTAATCGTGTTTCATTTTTGCATTTAAAATAACAAAATAACAAAAATGTTATTACTTATATTACTTCCTACAAGAGTAATATAAGTAATATTGCCTTCCTATAGGAATATAGAGTGCTTAATAAAAATTCCGTATTCTCCTAAGTGCTAAATGGTGAAGATTTCACGTTTTATTGTGAATGATCTCACATCACCTAAGTCAGTGCTCGATAGATTCTAGAAAAATATGGATAAAAATTTCAAATGAACTACTTTTTAAGAGTAAGAAAGATTTTACTCATTTTCAATTTTTTATCAGCTCATGTTTGCAGGGCATGAGGATTATATTCATCACACCGGATTAGAACATTCGCACGTCTCTTTATGTCTCCACCCCTTCCCCTCCCTCCATCTCTTCATCTCCTCCTATAAGTGATTTATACATTGTTTTATATTGTGAACAAAAATAATATTTTTGAAATAATTTTATTTAATAAAACGTGAATGGCAGTTACAACATTTTCAACTTCAATTGTGACAAGATATTTAAAGACAACATGTGACTATAAGGTCTTGAAAAATAATAATGTTAACATGAAAGCAATGACCTTCCGAAGTCCCTTTGCCTGAGAGTGCTAAAAGGTCCCTGAAATAGATTTGTAACATTTTAGGAAATATGATAGGCAAAATGTCATACATTTAAATCCAACAGTAGGGATGGTTAATGTGAAATTGATGGTTAATCTGTTTTTAAGTGTACTGTCACAGGTATAAAACACTTTGAAATTAGTAATATGCATTCAGTTATATTTATCATATGCTTTTTGAGCATCAACTGCATATTATTCATGGTGATAACCAGTTTTTGCTGTCAAGGCACTGACAATCCTATGGAAAAACAATTAAAAATTATAACAGTACATAAATGAGTGTAAGCAAACAGTATTTTAACACACTTATTTCTAAAAAAATTATTACTGGGAAATTTAAGATAGTGTTAAGATATCTAATACTATTAATGATGAGTGATCAAAAGTGTTGTTCATCTATATATGACAGACCTCAAAGTCTTAGTGTAGAAATCCTTGCTTTTTTATTTTTGCATCTTTAACTTTGTTGTGTGGCTTGAAATTTAGATCCCATCCACCAGTGTGAGAGAAGTTGTTTTGGTCTGTGGTCCGTTTTAAGATTAAAGTACTTATTTAAAGAAGTCTCTGTTTTCAGACCCTGAATCTCTTTTACAAAAAAAGAAAATAAAATTGGCAGGCTTAAATTCTAAATTTCTTTGGAAGAAGTTTTCAGCTTTGCACTTTAAATATTGTAGTAATTTTTAACATTTTACATGATGTTGACTTTAGAGAAAAGGTGAATGCAAGTAATTTGATCGAAATACTGATTGTGCTTATTTCAATATGTATTTCTCAGATTCAGCTTCAGTTCTTGAATATTAACAATCTTTCCATGTAAATGTAGTTCAGAATTGAGCTTTTGAGTCATTTTTGTAAATGAGTCCACTGAATAAGCATAATCATAATTTGGCTGCACCCAACCAATCCCAAAAAAACTCAATTTCAAGAAATTTTTTTAGAAATTAAGTATTATATTACATAATTTTCAAAAATACTATGATTTATTTTTATCCTTATTTTACGTTGATGTCATGAAGACAGAGTAAGTATTTAGAGAATGCTCTTGCTAAGTGTTTTCTATTCTTGTTATTATAAACCTTTATTAGCTAGAAGAAAACAGTTTTAATTTCATGCCTTCAGAGCTCTCATATCAATTCCAGTACTTTAGGTTGTAAATATCTACTATCATACTGCGTGTTTAGTTAATAGTTTCTCTTGTAAACTAGAATATAAGTCCTGGGCAGAAATTAAAATTTATTCCAGTTCAAATTCCTATATTTAACTCAGGGCCTGGTACTCAGTAACCTGCTAGGAAAATTTTGAATATAATCGAATAGATGCATAAATTAATGGTTATTTCTGTACTCTTCAGTATTGACAAAATGTACCAGATTCTTAGAAATTTGATTTTATGTGATTCTGGAAAACTTTTGTAATGTCTCCAAGCCTTGGTTTGAACACTTGAGGCTGAGAATTAAATGATGTGATATACATTTATGTTTGGCATAACTTTGGACCTCTCACATGTTAGATATTACTACTTTTCAAAAATAATACTTTTCATTTATACAGATTGACTATGTCTTTTTTTAAAGTGAGAACCACCCATTTTAAATTAGAAAGTAGCAACAATAAAACACTTTTAAGTATCACAGGAAAAAAGCCTAGTATGGTCTAAAAGCTAGAGAGCGTTTTTGCTGAATATAAATTAAGAATTATAAAATGCATGTTGTGCAGAAATAAAGTGCTCTAGAGGAAGAAAAAAATCATCTAGGGATTTCCCCCGCATTGAACTAAAGCTGTTAGGACTTTATTTTCTGCCTTGCCTTTGTGACAAGATTGGCATTATATAGTTCACAGGAGATGTGAGTAGTGAATGACTGATCATTTTTGGTATTAAAAAGTGCTAACCTTTTCTTTCTCCTCACCAGAGATTTCTCACTTCAAACTTTCATAAAACAAAGTTGCAAGTGTAATTTCCATTTGCATATTTTTATTCTGTTTGCAACTGCAGGTCAGAAACCCTCATACAGGAGATCTCTTTGTGAACAAGGTCTGACAAATTAAAATCCTTCATGACCAAGTAGACATAGAACAATTGGGATAAATAAATGAAGCTCACTTTTTGCTCATTTCCACTAAAGTAAATATTGGTAATCCATGAAGGCTTATTGTCACTCTTAGACCATTCTTGTCAATTAATGCATTTTAGGAATTTCTTAGATTCTTGTTGAAGTAAGATAGTAATTGGAACATGTTTAATATTAGTAATTTTGACAAACTTTTATAAATACATATATAACATTGTAAAAAGTATATAGTACTTGAGAGGCTGGGATTTAGCGCAGTGGCACCTCACCTGCCTCATAAGCCCAAGGTCCTCAGTTTGATCCCCAGTACCCAAAAACAAAACCAACAAAAGAACCCCAATAAAACAAAAATATAGTACTTTAAATCTTTTTCTAGGCTTTGATATTGATTTATTAAATAAATACACTCCATAAAAAAGATCATATATGTTTTCAGTGGGACTTGGCTTTAAAATAATTTCCAAACACTAAGTATTCTCACTATACTTTTTAAAAACAAAACATAAAGTTGTTGCAAGTGTGAGGTTTTTCTTTTCGTGTATTGTGATTTTGATACTTAGACTTTTCAGAGTTCTGACATGTTAAAGAAGGAATTATTTGCAGAGCATTTTCACAAATGTCTTTAACACCCATATCAATCATCCAAGTGTACATTTGCTAATCTCTAAAGACTGAAAAAGATAGCCACCTTTTATTTTTTTCTGTGGCACATACCTTGTATTTTTAAAATGTCATGATGTCACCGATGGATAACAGTTAATTATGTTTATCTTCTCAAAATATTTAGCCCTCCAAATAGTTATTCTGTCACAATTTATTGGCAGAAACCATAGCAGTATAAGGAAAGCAATAATTGCTTTTATCCATAATTTGTTGCTTATTGGTTTTGTGCGCCATAAAGCTACTCAGAGCCAGAAATTTTATAAAATTTTATTTTAAACTCCAGGTATTATGGCTCATCTGTGTCATTTTCATTTAGAACATTTACTGATCTATTTTTCACTATTAACCATAGACTGGTGATAGGATGCTGTATTGATTCAGGTTATTGCTAGCAATGTAGCAGAAACTCTGGTTTTAAAGATCAGCAGCCACTAACTATGATTGCTGACCCCTGGTCATGGGTAAGGGACGTATGTACAGCTCGTTGGTTCTTTTTCTTCACATCAAAGCTAAATAGGGAAACAATCAAGAGCCTTTTGCACTGTGAATGTCAGCTAGTGAAACCGGAGATGATGTCACCCCAGCCTGAGTCCCTTTGGTCTCAAATACTAATTAAAAAGAAAGCACACCATGAAACAGTTGGGTTTTAATCTTTAAAATAACAATGAATTCTAATTAAATTTGAAAGTGTAAGTGGGTACAAAAGGGAAGGTTTTATGAGAAAGTATAAGCATAATTATGGCATAGCAAAGGCTTATCTATGCATCTTAAGAATCATGTTTATTTATTTTTCCTTTCTGTGGCATATATAACATGTTACATAACACTATAATTATTATTATTTCACAACATATATACTTATTTACATTTCTCATGCCACTTTTGATTGATTTTAGAATTAACCTTTTCAGATACAAATATTAATCTTCTAATTTAGAAACTGCCATAATTACCAGGGCTAAAGGTATATTTTGCTTTTATGATAAATGGAAATATGCCTAAAATTTATTTTAATCTATTAAA